CTGTTGGCCTGTCCTCGTGGCCTGTTATTCTATTCCACTGGTTTAGCACTGTTTCTGTGAGATATTATGAGTATCAGTGTTCTGCATATAAAGAATAAGCTGAAATTCTCCACTCCACAACCTATCTGAAAACCAGTGTGGTACAGGGGTAGTCTGAGCTCCAGAAAAAGTATCTGATTAAGGTGTCTCCTGAAAGAAAGTTCTGTTTCACATTTAGAGTCTCAAAACGTCTGTAAGGAAGGTGAGGAAGCTAGGAGAATAGAACAGTAAATACTGGCACCACCAAAAAAAACCAACCCAGGATTAAAAATAAAAGAATCTGTGTCAGCCAGGAGCAGGACAATGTTTTATTCACTAGCACAGTCAATTGCACTGAGTGTGTGTGTTTCAGAAAACGGAAATCACTTGTTTTTAAATATAATGTTCATTATTCAATATGTTGGGTTTTTTTGTTATATATATATACTACTATAAGTGTAACTGCTCAGAATTGGATATTTTAAGAAGACGGTGCTATAGCTTAGATATAACTTGATGCAGATATCAGTGAAGCTCTGGCTTGAATTATGTGCAGTAGTTCATTAACTGTTAAAATCATTTGAATTTCCTTGTAATTTATTAGAAGTTGCAGATCATACCAAACTGTACAAAGAGTTAGTTTTGTTGTGATTGTCTCTGTTCCTTCAGCACACACCCACAGAGATGTTTCCTGGTGAAAGATGAAATTAAAATTCCTCTGATAACTGATGAGTTGGTGTGTTGCTATGGCCCTTGTGAATCGAAAGTAGAACTATATTTAGTGGAAGCAGAAGAGGACTTACTGCTTTTAGATAACCATGGTTAAAAAGGATGTATGAATGTGTGTTTGCATACTCTACTACCCTGCATTTGGAGGCGATGGAAGCTCTTATGTCATCTGTGCTTTTGTGAAGCAACTCTATTAGTTGCTTTGATTTGAAAAAGGCAGGGCTGTTGCTCTATGACAGTAAGTAAAGAATTATGATTAGATTTGCAGTACCTGTAAAATGATGATACTCTGTATGAAACTGTTATTTTTCTCTAATCTGTATGTGCGTTAAGGGTTAGAGCTGGCTGTTGGATGAGAACCGAGCAACAGTTCCCTGGAGAGGCAATGGTGAAAATGGTTCTTGGGAACTGACATTGCTGGATGGGATAGAGTTACAGTCAGCATTAAGTGTTTTATATGGCAAAGAGTGAAGTTAATTGCTGATGACTGACAGGAGTCGAAATCTGGACTTTGGAAAAATAAATTGCAAGTTGTGTGTGAAAGGCAGATGTCTCTCTTGTTAGAGGGAAACTGACCTACTGTTTTTGTGATCTACTTCTTTTGGTTATTCTGTCTTTGGAGTGTAAATCCCTGCTTTGGTAGTGACACTGGTCTCTTGAATCGGAGTTGTTTAGCACTTGATTCCTATACATTGATTTAATTTAGGAGTGTGGATGTCCACCAGCAAAGATTCCATGTCCTCAACACAATCCTTGAAAGAAGAGAAGTGCTAAACTCAAAAGATTTTGACATTATTTTTGTTATCCCAGATTTTCAGAATGTATAGCATTTGGAAAAGTTGGGGTGGCTTAATGCTTTAAATTTATTTTATGCTTTTACCAGACTTTCAAATGAAATATACATTTTTGAAGAAATGCTCAAACTGCTACCTGCTCTAGCATTTTCTTTGCTACACAGGCTAGTAAGTGAGCCACTAAAAAATTTCCTGATAAAATCATGAGAATTTATGTCACTTCTGCTTTGGATCAACTATAACAAAATAGGGTAAATTTGACTGTAGCAGTACAGCTGGAATGCTTTCCTCAAATAATTGGTTCCTTTCAGGTCCTGGATATGAAAATGGTGATATCACATCCCAGAATTTGAGGGTGAAAAAAGGAGAGGCAAATGTCTTTGGCCATCTTTAAAACCAACCTACCTTACGTTTGTTTTGACTGGGTACTTGTAAGACTGTAGCTTATATCCCATAATGCAGAGACATACACTTGATGGGGAATGGTAACATATTTGATAATATGTTTATTGTCTCAGTTTCTTGACTTATATTCTGTGGTTTATGAATAACTGATTGGTGATCTGCTGTATCATTTTCCTAAACTAAAATAGTTTCTTGCAGCTATCCAAAAGAGATTTATTTGTGCTTGCCAGTAAGGAGTCTGAGTTCTGTAAGCTATACCTTGTGTCCTTATGGAGGGCTTCTTACCTTGGTATACAAGTGCCATTGAAGTCCTCAAACACCTGGCATTTGCTACATGTTTATGCATTTAATTCAGTAAATAGCATCCCAGTAATATCCTCCCTGGCACCACATGTAGTGGTACAAAATGTCACTGGAGACTTGTTATCAAAAATTCAGCAAGGATGCTGAAAACAATTCAGGTTTTGGGTAAGAACCATGAATCAATGGGTAACAAAATGCCAACGCTTGCAAAAGAACTAGCAATGAATGTAATGCAAATTTGGAACACTTAAAGGGGAAAAAAAGTGCAGTAATTCTCTACAGCTGCTTCCTTTTGCTCTTTGAAGATCATCATGTCAACCCTGATCATGTCCATGCTTAATCCAGTATCTTCTCTCTGACAGCGGCCGGTGCCAGATGTTTCAGATACTGTGCTTCGTTTATTATTAGCCAGAAACCATCAAAGTGTTCAATCCCTTCAATATCTTGAGCTTGAATGAACTTAAGTTATTTTAAGATTGCTGATGGAAGATGAGAGGAAGGAGTTGTTTCAACAAGTGATCTGCACTAATTGCAAGGGTTGAAGTCTTCCCTGATCCTGAATTGGTAATGTGAAAGGCATGTTCCAGGATGGTGGTTCTGACAGAATAATTGAATATCCAGAGTCCAGTAGAGTCTTGACTTCATCTTGGTTGTATTTCTCTGGCTCCTTAATAGGTTAGCCTCAGGGAAAAGTCCTAATGCTGGAGTAACTGCATGGAAATTAGGGTTTAATATTTTGTGTTATATTCTGATTTTGCTTGCAGTTTGCTTGTCCTGATGCGCATCTTGTATGATTGCCCTACTTTTCATGGAAAAGAGCTGATCTGACTACAGGACTAGGTGGACAGCATCACACAGAGCATGTATTTTACTGACTGGGAAAAGAGTTGCACTCCAGTACTTCATTTTATTCCCAAAGTGCTTTCTTGAACAAGTGAGATAAAAGAACTAAATTAAATAGTGCTATTCCATGATCTGATGCAGCCTTGTCACTCTAATTACTGGGGCTGTGTCTCAGCCTTTTTCTTATGAGCAAATGCAGCCCTGGGGACTTGGAAATTACTATGTTGATTTGAGTAAGTATCTATTTGGCACACACCTTGAGGCACTGTAGCAACAGAACTGTTAAATAAGAACTAAAATTTAGAGAAATCAGAGGATCCAGCCCTCATAGTGCAGCTTGAATTCTGAAGCTAAATTAGTGTGTGTTAGTTATCTCTGAGAACAATAATTACAGGTGTTTTGGGCATCTTGACCTTTGTTCTTTCTCACAACTCTTGAGCTACGTTTCAGTGTTGATATGGAAACAGAACTATTCCCCTTCAAAGTTCTGGATGTAAGTGTTCTATTTTGGAGAGTAAAAGGAAGTTGCTGGATATGGCCTTAGAGACAGAGAAAAGGCCAGGGAGTGTTTAACTTAGTGGAGTAAGTATACCCTATACATATATCTACAAGATAGCTAGAGATGATTCTGAGAAAGCCATGTGAATTCTTTCAAACCACATGAATTGTGCTTCCCTGTGTCCGTTATCATGTCTTGGAAGATAGGATGATGAATGCGAGGAAGCAGTGCACCTTGCAGTAATGAAGGGTAATTGTATACCAGGCTGGCACCTCAATATAGCAAAGATGTTGAGATCCAGAAAAATCCCTTTGGCTGCCAAGAAGACAAGAGTACTGGACCATACAATAAATAAGAGTCCGAGGGAGCTGCTCTGTTCATATAGGAGAAGTAAAGAATAAGGAGGGTGGGATCTAATTACTGTTTTACACTGCCTAAAGGTATGGAGGAAATGGAACCAGTCTTTTATCTGAAATGTACAACGGAAGAACCAGGGGGAACAAAACAAAAAAAGGTCATAACATGGTAAATTCCAATTGCATGTAAAGAAAAAAATTTGTACTGTAAAAATTGTTAAGCATTGGCACAGGTTACTCAGACAGGTTGTGGAGACCCTATCCTTAGAGATATTCAGAACTGGGCAAGGCCTTGGGACACCTGGTCTAAGTAGGCCCAGCTTTGAGCAGGTCAGACCAGGTTGCTCAAAGCTTTATCTGGTGAGGTCTTGAAAACCTCCGAGGATGTAGGTTGCACAACTTTTCTGGGCAACCTGCTCTATTGCTTGACTACCCTCACAATGAAAAAGTGATATCCATATATCTGGTCTCAAACTCTCTTGTTTCATCTTGTGCCTGTTACCTCTCATTCTCCCACCATGCACCACTGTGAAGAGTGTGGCTCCATCTCCCTTATAATCTCCCTGCAGATCCTGGCAGGATCCTATTAGTTTCCCACAAAGCTGTCTCTTCCGCAGGCTGAACAAGCCATTTCTTACAGGGCAAATGCTCCAGCTCCCAGCCATCTTGGTGACCCTCTGTTAAATTAACTCCAGATTATGGAGGTCTATCTTGTATTGGGGGTCCAAAAATTGCATGCAGTGTCTAAATGATGAGTCTGGCTCAGCTGCATTTCCTGTAAACTTGATAGATATGCTGATGGAAATAAATGGTATGACTGGACTAAATGTTTGGAGCATCTGACTGTTGCCTCCACCAAGTATGGCTGAAGGTCATAGCCTCCACCCCTGGCATGTTATTGTCTTTTTCCTTTCTGCTTGTGTGAGATGAATAATAAAATCTGTGTCCCTTATTGCTTGTAAATTGTGTGTTTCTTAGACTGCAGTGGTGTAAATCACCTAAGTATTAACTTCCTTTCATTAATGATAGTTTTCTTTTTTGTCATTTTTGCAGGTTACATATCACAAGTACTAAAGAATTACACTGACCATGCCTGCGATGGAGAATATGTCTCTCTGAGATGTCCTCACAGAACTACCATCAGCATCCAGTCTTCTTTTTATGGCCGAATTATACCAAGTCATCAGATGTGTCCTTCTCGCTATCCCCACTCCTATGCAACTTTAATTAAAGAAGATGTTGCCTGTTCGGTTGGCACTTCCCTTCAGGTAACTGCATTAAACTGAATTTGTTCATTTGGGACTTCAACTTTTGCTGGCCTGGCAGCGGCTCTCCATGCTGATGCTGCTAGAACTCTATTAAGGAGCTCTACCCAGCATGGCAGCACTGGCACCTCACACAGCTTAGTGAATAATTCATCTTGGTAGTTTAGACAGGACTGAATTAGATTTTGCTGCTGAATCTCTCAACTTTGCTGTTACTCTGGTCAGTGACAGTTCAAGAATGTGATTGAAACAGAGTTACTCTGCAAGACCACAGTGTGTTTGACTGGATTTGAAGGTAGTTTTTAGTTTTCCTTCCCAATGGTTAGCTTTTTCAACACATTCAGAAGTTGCTGTCATGTTTTTTTTTACTTCAGAGCTGATCCTATTTCAAGAGACTTTTGGTAACTTGAAACCTAGAGAGAATCCTGGGCTTTACTTCTGACTCATTTGGCTCTTAGGCCACTGTAAGTGATCATACATCACTTAAGCTTGTAATGTCCCAAGCACTGGTAGTTAATCAGCTCTGTCCATTTAGGTAGGGGATGTTGACTACACGTACCCTCCCAAGACAATATGTGATGTCAGCAAATCAAAGGATTATTTGTAAGGTGCCAGTGTTACTCAGCTGTCAGCAGGAACAACTAGAATCAGAAACATGAGTAGGCTGATGCTGTTGTGATGAATGGGTTCTGCTGCTGGATGTTGAAGTAAACCCAAGACTTTCCAAGTGCAGGATTTGGGACTGAAAACTTTTGGGCAAAGATCTTAAGCATCTAGTCTGTTTATGGCTATGAATCAATAATAACTCATAATAAAAATTTATAGCAGAACTAGATTAATGCACCTACTGGGTGTATCATCATTTATTTCATAACTTGGCTAAAGGCCAGAGTTTCCTACATCACTTCTCACTCTTGCATCAAATGTTTTTAAGAGGCATTTACAACATATTTTAGGGTTGATACGAGTGCTTTGCCTTCCTAATGTCAGTGATAAGTTCTCAAGAAATTGCACAGGGTTGGTGTTTGCTGTAGTGTAACCCTTAATCTGACAGGTTTGCAGTTGCCTTCATAACACTCCACTGCACAGCAAATGACTGAGTTGTAGTGTGGGAGGATGCGGTCCTTAACAGTGGAAGGTTTTCCCAGATATGATAATGAAAGTTCGTAATACAACAGACAGGAGCCAGTTGTTTTGTTTAAGGTGGGGGAACATGGACTGAAAACTTTGGCAGAGGCTAACCTTCCCTACTTTCCTCTGTTGATTTACTGCAAAATTTACTTGAAATACTTTGTTTCCCAGCATGATTGATAGCTATGTGCATACCTTTAACCCTTGTGGGTGAGAGGCCCACTTAAGACATCTGGAAGAACTTGAGAGCAGGGGGGATGTAACCTTTGGCTTTCCCTGCCATGGTTTTATGTGCAGGAGGGATTTCAAAGAAATCCTTACCTGCTTGGCTTAACTCCTTGTGTTGTCAGAGCTGTTCCCATTAGCTTTGCCTCCAACACTTACAGTACTTGTAACTACAGTTCCCCTATCTATCAGAGTAAGAACTGTGTTCTCTGTAGGTAGTCTTGCAGCAGATCTCTTGTACAGTATGTTTGTTAACATGGCTGAGACCGGAATACTCCTGTTCACCCATTTTGGGGATGCAGATGTGCTAAGGAAGTAGGTGACATTTTCTGTTCTGCCACAGATTTCTTGGGGGACCTTGGGAAAGTTCCCGAGTCTCTTTGGAGGAGATCCACAGTCCCTCTTTGGTCCTCCCAAATGTGGCTTTGATACCTCAATGTGCTGTGCTTGGCCAGGGTGGGGTGAGTCCAAATGCCAGAGATGAATCTTGTCTTCTTTCTCAATCCTTGAGGGTGTGAGGCCTCTCTGAAGGGTAATCCAGAAACTCCACAAGCTGAAAGGCAAGCTGCCTGCAGCTTGCTGACAGGAAATACATGTATGTAGGAAAATTGAAAAGTTATAGACAATGTGTAGTTTTGTGGTTTTTTTAAACTCTCCTATATGGCTGCTATAGGCAGGACCAATTGTGTGTATATTCTGACTGCAAATTACGAGTCAGCCAAACCAAACCCTTCAAAATTAAATTTATAAAATTACTGTGTCTAATCAAACCCATGACTGTATAAATTTGCTTGCTTCTCTGGAGAGTGGCCGGGAGGGAGTGTAAGGGGGAGTTTATTAATACTATTCCCTGCAAACTGTACCTGTGAGTGAAAGTTCATTCCCATTTAGAAGCTCTGTCCCCTGCAAATTGATAGTTTAGACATTATTTCTATGTTAAAAATGGAAAAGGGTTGATTGCACTGAGACAACTACTATAAACCACCCTTGTGTGGTTGGCTGCCAGGATCCCTTGCTTTAGTCACTTGTTTTTGTTTGAAATGAAATGCAGACCACTTGTGAGAGCATGTCGAAGACATTAAGGCAGTGGCCGCAAACTACATATTTCTGTTAGTCTAACACTGCAATGTCAGATTCAGTGGGAGATTTCCAAATGTACAAAGAATTTGGACATTCATACTGGGATTTTAGTTTCAATGTGGCTGGTCTCTTGTTAACTTTTTGATCAAGTCACCTGAATATGGACAGATGAGAACAACAAAATAAAGTTGTCTTGAAAGCTGGACATTATTTCCTTTTTAAACAGGTCCCCTTGCTCCCCTCACTCCACTCAGTTTAACAGGGGAGCCCAGAGTTAGCCCAAGTCACATGAGATACATGTCAGGAAGGAAAGAGTTGGAACATCCTTGAGATATTTTGAAGATGGAAGTGTAGAAAAATCCTACTCATTGTTTAATAGCAGAAGCTAATTTGGGGCACTAGTGTTGTTAATTAGTGCTCTGGTCTTGTATTGGCTCTTTTTTACTTTCTTTGTGGAGTCCTGCAGAGAGTATTCCTGGCTGTGAAGTAATGGAGAGCAATATCCTTGTCCCAGCCAGGAGGGATGGTTGGGGAGAGAGAAGAGGGACATCTGGAGCTTTGGTTGCTCTGGTAAAAGGGACCCATAGAGTGCATTGTCCTGCTTGGCAGAAGTTTGTGAGGAGGAGCCTCATGGTGGAACTATCTCTTATCTTGCTTTTGGGTCAGGAAGAGCAAATGCCAGGACCAAAATCTATTAATCTTTTACCCAGAAAAGTAAATCCTTGAGTATTAAAGGTCATTTAGGTGTATTGAAGTCATGCCACTGAAAATGGTGGCAGTACGTAAGAGGGTGTTTATCCACACTGAATAATTTCTGCAGAGAAATGAGCTGTATTCCCACTAGAAAGTCTCTGGGTGCTGAAGAGCAGAACCGTATTCAGCATCGTCCTGTGTGTGTTGGTGTCTTTGTGATGACCTGTATCTCCCACATACCTTTATCTCTTTGGAGAAATAGTGCAGGTGCAGTTGGTCTGAGCTTGCAACGTAACAATTTTGAGAACTTGGAGATTTTTGTTAGATGTGTGCATTTTGTTTTGCAGTGGAACTTTGCTCTGTCCCATGTCACCCAAATAGGGTTGGTCAAGCTTGGTCAAGTCTATTTTTAACCCACCCAATGTCTGATTTTTACTGTAAGAGTGTGGAGAATAAGCTAACTTACATTGCTGTGCAGCAGAGGGTAACATAGGAACACCTGAAGACACCTTTTACTTCAAGGGTATCTGCTGGGGACCATCGTCGTCTGCTTTAGCCTTTCCTTTGTGCCATGGTTCTCTCACCTGCCACACTACTGAATACTTTTGCACTTCCATGAAAAATATAAGGAAAGTGGGAACAAGGAAGCATCTGGGGAAATAAGGAAACTGATAAACTGATACATCAGCAGTGTATGTTTAGTCAGATGAATACATAAATGCTGGCACAGAGGACAAAGGAGAACAAGGAATGTTAACAATTCTGCATTGCCTAATGATAAGTGCCTCCTGATAAGTGAATCCATTTATTAAGAAACCTAGCCACTTCTAGCCAAGCTTAGAATGCCCAGCCTGTGCCTGCGAAAATACATGGAGGCATGTTTATCTGAGGGAAGCTGCTCAGCTGAAGAGGACTTTGGGAGTAGCTTTCTTACAAAGCTTTCCACAGCTGTTCATTCCTGGATCAGTATTCCTGATGTCACCTCTTTTCAGTAACAAACCACTTGAGGTCTATATGGAATAAAGTTTAATTGATGGTCTAAAATTATAGCTTATTACCAGAAAACTAGATTACAGTGGAATACCTGCAATATTCTCATTTTGGTAAATGGCCAGAAAAGTAAAATCACAGCTTATTTGGAAGAAAAACAGAAGGTCCTGAAGCAAAGCTTAGTTAGAAGGAGAATAAAAAGCCCTGGAAAGAATCCATTGGTTTCTGCTCCTAGATATTTATCAAAGACATTGTAGGATAATTTCTGTCCTCATGTATACATGCACAAAAATAAGCAGGAAACTGCACTTCAGAGGAAAATGTTTTACCGTGTGACTTATGTCCCCAAGAGGAGTGGTGCTTAGGAAGGTGCTGTGGAGCCAGTCATGCCTGTCCTTAAAAAGGTTAGTTTGGAGAGGGAGCATAGGCATTGGCTGTGGCCTGGGTTTCTTTTAACACTCTCCAGGACAACCAATCCTTGGTGACAAGAATCACTAGATCTGCTGATGTAGTATTTCCTTTTGTCCTTTAAGTGAGATACGGGACTCCTTTGCTGCCACCATCTCCCACTGTCACTCTAGCAGCATGTAAGGCACCAGTACAAAAGGGAGCGGATCCCTTGCATGCTAACCACAGGATTCCCTGAGCCCCTCTTCTCCCATTTTTGTTTGCACCTACCAGGAAGGTTTCTGAGACAGAAAGCAAAGGGGAGCTGACCTTTTTGGTGGTGGAAGTATGAGATAAACTGCCCACTAGCTGTGTGACTCTCAAAGCATGGGCCAGTTGTTGATCACAAAATGAGGGAGCTGCAAAGTATGTGTGTGTTTGTTACCATTTCTGAAAAGGGTTTTGTTTTCCCCAGGAATTCTGGATTAGCAGTATGG